TTAATTAGCTATGGGCATAAATCTGGCTTTTCTCTTTTAAAAAATTAGGAAGGAGGTTCTCTTTATAATGTTCGGTGTAAATGCATAGTACAAATTTCCTGATTTGAGTATGTCTGGGTAGTGGAGGGAAGATTCAATAGGTGACTATAGCCTACAGGTAAAGGATAACATCAGATCTTGCAAGGTTAAGACTGTAATGTTAACATAGTTGAATATTCCTAGATGCTGTTACTGGCAATGTTGCCTTGTACAGAACCAGCATGTTCTTGCTTGGTTAGACTCAGGTAGGTCAGAAAAGCAGGTCTCTTGTTGACAATGGCGGTTTTTCACTGAGAGAGGTAAGCATTCCTAGTTGTGACTTTGCAGCCCATGCCAGGTAAGCAAGAAGCCAGGACTGCAGCAGCAGCAACTAACTGAAAGGCCTGCTTACTGATGGAATCACGAGCTCCAGAGTGGCTGCGAGGGCATTCTGCTTTCTTCCAGTTTGATGCAGTGCAGAGGATACTGAAAGGTAGGAGATGAGGGTTCTAGACTCAGTTCTGGCAGTAATTAGCTGTGTGACTTCTGGCATTGGTCACCTTTTTTGGCTCAGTTACCATATCAGCAGATTGAGAATGAGACAACTTGCCCCACTACATAAGAGAATGATTATAAGGATCAGATGAAACTTTATTAATATAAAGTATGATTATCATCACATCTTAGAGACCATCTTCATTGAAATGTTTGAGGGGAAAAAAGCTAAGGGTTGAGAGTGTTTAGCCTGGTGAGTAGGGAGAAGACACTCAGTGATCAGGGTGATGGAGTAACCACAGGCAAGGGATTTCCCATGATGTCTCGGAAACCTCATTTAGTGAACAGGATGGCTCTCAAAAAGCAGAGTAGGGGAGTGGGAGATGGTCCATGGAGGTTCCGCTGAACACCTCAACGTAGTTGCCATAGGCTGTTTTGATTTCGTATGGGCCAGTGCTTTTCCTAAGCCCTTCAGAGATGCCCAGCCACTTTGGTTACATCATCAATCTGGCATTTAATCTTAGTTGAAGTAGATGTATGTATCTTTTGCTCATCAAATTCTTAAGTTATTAGAAAATACAGATAATTTGTCTGCCTGCCTGACTTCTGTGGTTTTCCAGTGGTTACCTTATCTCTGTGATTCCTTAGTGCTATCCTGACCCTCTCTTCCCTTCTTGCTTCCTCCACTCCCTCAGCATCATCCCCTACAGATGCCTTCTTTCACTGGCTGTTAGGAACTCCCTTTTCTTGGTAGCAGGGTTGTCTTTTCCTTCCAGTTTCAAGTGTCGCCATTGTGCTCAGCTTACTTGTAGCATTGATACTTATTGAACAAACGGAGTGAAAGATAAGGACGCTCATTCCAGTTCTGCTTCTTTTACCCTCTAGAGAGAAGCTGTCTCCTTCTCTAAGCCGTTTGGAGCAGGGAAAAATAGCAGTTTCCCAGCCTCTGGGCTGTTGTCAGAATGATCTTTCTAAATGGAAATGTTACTTACTTGCTCTGCCCATCCAGGGTCCATAGGCCACTCAAGCACACAGATAGATGGCTTTTCTTTGTCCCATCCTGGCTTCTGTAAGGTTTAAAACAATTTAAATCACTACTAATGTTAAAGATTGGAAGATTTTTTTTTTTTTATTTTTTGACCTATTAAATCCAGGATTTTGGTTTCTCTTGGAAAATTGTTTGATGGCAATGCTGGGCACCAGGAACTGGGTAGGGACACCCCTTAGCCAAGGCAATGTTCTCCAGATGGTACAGCTACCACCCATGCCTTTTCACTCCCTTACATTATTTAGGTAGGTACTTGGGATTGCTCCCGCAACTATAGGATCAAGCTCAAACTCCTTAAAAGGTATACAGGAGTCTTCGCAATTCGACCCCACCCTGCCTCTGCCCCTCACCTTTTTGCCACATCCCTACAGGCATTCTTACAGTAGCTGTGATACTAAATGGATAGTTGTTTGCCTATTTGAGTTGGCTTACTCACATATTTTATTTTTTACTAAAGAGACCCATTTTGCAGATCCCTGTGGAGCACCCATTTAGCGGCAAGGTGTGTGCTTGGCATGGCTACCACTGCGGAATGTTTAGGGAGTTATATTTTAGATTTTCATATATATTGATCCAAAGCTTCTGTGAAAAGCAAGAAGCAGAGGAAGGAAGAGAACAGATGGGGGCTCTTTCTGTGCTTATGGTCATTTCCAAAACAAATATGTTTCGTTTGATTACTTGGTCATATATTTCCAGACATTCTGCTCTGTGAATTTGAGGACGTAGCAGCAAAATGATTCTTTACTTTGGTTATTATTTCTGTTGTTAAACATTGCTCGTTCTTTCCCAGAAGTTTAGGAAAATTCATATATCAGATAGCCTCGTTACTTGTACTTCTAGACAACAAAATCAATTCATGCTATTGAGTAGTTACTTACTTTATTGCTGTTCACATTAAATCCAGGAGCTTGCAGAAGAGTGATTTTTTTTTTAGAAATTGAGCATTTGCTTCTCCAGTTTTTGGGCTTTATCTTACTGGCGCCATCACTCATCCCAGGTTCCATTTTATGCTGGTTCAAAATTTTGATTTCTTCAGGAGGAGTCAAGCTTTCAGAATTTATATCACCCTAGCCAAACTCATGAGGTCTATTTGTAAACTAGAATATTCATTTTTTTTTTGCATAGTTTTTGAACATCTACTATATATGTGGCCCTGTCCTAATCTCTGGGGAAACAAAAATGAATCATAAATATGATGTGGTCCCTGCCATTTAGAAGCTTATGGTCCACAAGTGGGACAGATAAATAAACAAAAACATTATATATAGTGTGCTAAGTTAGGGATGACCCTACATTCTGGGATGTCCTGCTTTATACCTGTTGTCCTGGTAAACTATTAACAATGCGTCTTTTCAAAACTATCTAAGGGCCACAGTAAAAGTATCTATGGATGTTTGGGGTATAGATATAGTAAAAAGGAAGGAGAAATCAGCCTGTTTTCCCAGAGAAATGTTAACAGCTCAAGTGTGATAAAATTCAGATAGTCAAGGACTAGGAGCTTAAGGAGGGGGTAGGTAGGAGGTTTGTACAAAACTCTGCTGGCCAAAGGGAGAGTGTTGTCCAAGTAGCAATTAGTTGGTTTAAGCTAGTTATTGTTTCCCAAATTTATCCTGTGAAAAAAATTCCCCAGGACACTTAGTAAAAATACAGATTTCTAGATCCTGCTGGCAATTTGAATTCGTGTTTTTAAAGCATCTCAGATGATTCTTGGACGTATTAAAGTTCAGAATCAATTCTCTACTGATTATGGCTGGAAATACAAAAGGCCAGGAATACAGGGGGACAGGAACAGCAAGACTAGAGTACAAGTCACAGATCAGCCAGGCAAGAGTGATCCCAGGTGAGAAAACCCTCAGAGGTAGAACTAGTTGGGAGACATTTAGAGTAGAACTGTGAACAATAGAGTGCAGAGGAATAAAAAGATTTGAGGACTATTTAGAAGGAAAACAGGACCTAGTGTGTGCTGGTTACTGACCCACATGGGGTAATATTATTTCCAGGTAACAAAATCCTTGTGTTAAATTCAGGAACCTGGGGGAACTTATAATCTAAAGGTTTATGTGGTGAACCATAAACCTAAAAATACAGTTGTATAGTGTTGTGGCATATTTCATGTGCCTAAAAAAAAATTACTCCTGCTTACTTCATATCTTTGTTGTCTCCAGAACACTTGAGAGAGTTGTTTATCTGTGGGAAGAAGCTGGATGTAAACATCCTGACACCCCAAACCCTTTCATTTAGACTTCAGGCAAACCCCTGTCCTGGTTATGGTGAGACTACCTGCCATGTTTTATCTTGCATTACTTTGCTTTTATTTTTGTTACCGAACGTGTAAGACAGTCATGATTCATCAACAATATACCTGCTAACGACTTTGTTTCTACGTTCTGGAGCTGCTCTCTCTGTGGGAACCTGCAACCATTTCACAGATTCACCATAACTCTGGGCAATTATAACAGTAGAAGAAATGCCTTATCCAGCCACGGGGATCATTAACCCTGAAGATGGAGGGAGCCGATTCACTTGGTACGTTGATGATTCTGAGGAGCAGTCCCTAAATGGAAAATGAAGAAAATCCGAGGAGAGCTCTGCCTTTCAAGAATAAAGAGGGTTTTTATTTTGAAGGCTGCCTTCACCAGGCCTGTTGGCATACTTCTGAAGCAGTAAACGAAGTCAGAAATCAGACTCGGAAGTTATTGCGGGGGGCGGGGGGGCGGGGCTCAGAGAGGAGAATGGGAAAC